AACAGAACAAGCAGAGGGACGGATCAAAGAGGGAGATAAGATAAACCACCTTCCCAAAAGCTACTGAATGCAATGACATTGAGGGAGGGTTGTCTGTTTGTTGTCTGCCTTGTTGTCTGGCACTCAACTTGTTTGCATCCCGCAGATAAGTGTCTCCTGCCCTGCAGGCTCCTGTCTCACCACCGGTGGCACCGAATCATAGAATCATAGAATCATAGAATCTTAGGGGCTGGAAGGGACCTCGAGAGATCATCTAGTCCAACCCCCCTGCCAGAGCAGGGTCACCTAGAGTACATCACACAGGAACTCATCCAGGTGGGTTTTGAATGTCTCCAGTGAGGGAGACTCCACAACCTCCCTGGGCAGTCTGTTCCAGTGCTCTGTCACTCTCACAGTAAAAAAATTTTTTCGGATATTCACCTTGAACCTCCTATGCTCCAATTTACACCCATTACCCCTTGTCCTATCACTGGTCATCACCGAGAAAAGCCTAACTCCGTCCCCCTGACACTCACCCCTTACATATTTGTAAACATTGATGAGGTCACCCCTCAGTCTCCTTTTCTCCAAGCTAAAGAGACCCAGCTCCCTCAGCCTTTCCTCATAAGGGAGATGTTCCACTCCCCTAATCATCTTCGTAGCTCTGCGCTGGACTCTTTCGAGCAGTTCCCTGTCCTTTTTGAACTGAGGGGCCCAGAACTGGACACAATACTCCAGATGTGGCCTCACCAATGCAGAATAGAGGGGGAGGAGAACCTCTCTTGACCTACTAACCACACCCTTTCTAATGCACCCCAGGATGCCATTGGCCTTCTTGGCCACAAGGGCACATTGCTGGCTCATGGTCATCCTCCTGTCTACCAGGACCCCCAGGTCTCTTTCACCTACACTACTCTCCAGCAGTTCAGCCCCCAACCTGTACTGGGACATGGTGTTGTTCTTCCCCAAATGTAAAACTCTGCACTTCCCCTTGTTGAATTTCATCATGTTTCTCCCCGCCCAACTCTCCAACCTATCTAAGTCTCTCTGAATGGCAGCACAGCCTTCTGGTGTGTCAGCCACTCCTCCCAGCTTAGTGTCATCAGCAAACTTGCTGAGGGTACATTCTATACCCTCATCCAGGTCGTTGATGAAGATGTTGAACAACACCGGTCCCAGCACCGACCCTTGTGGGACTCCACTAGTAACACACCTCCAACCAGATTCTACCCCATTGACTACAACTCTCTGACTCCTTCCTTTCAACCAGTTCCTAATCCACCTCACTTCCTGGTCACCAAACCCATACCTGATCAACTTATCCACAAGGATGCTGTGGGAGACGGTGTCAAATGCTTTACTGAAATCAAGATAAACCACATCTACCGCTCTACCATCATCTATCCACCTAGTAATTTCCTCATAGAAGGCTATGAGGTTAGTCAAACA